AAATGCGTAGAACTGGACTACATAATAAATAAGACGTAAACTTATCTTTCTTCTTTATTATTGTCTAGTACTATCTAATCTTTTGTACCAAACATGTCACTAATATCCTGTTTTCCCTTATTTTCGAAAAAAAAAAAAGTTGGTGGTTTTATTTACTATACTTAAATGTGCAGACACACATGCCAATAAAATACCACTTGATTGGAATATAAGAATGAAAATAGCAGCTGGTACAGCAAAAGGATTAGAGTATTTGCATGACAGGATTAAACCACCTATTATATATCGTGATCTGAAATGCTCTAACATTTTGCTTGGGAAAGGATATCATCCTAAATTATCTGATTTTGGTTTGGCGAAAGTGGGCCCCTCTGGAGATCAGACACATGTTTCGACTAGAGTAATGGGAACTTATGGTTACTGTGCACCAGAGTATGCAATGACGGGAAAACTGACATTCAAATCAGATATTTACAGCTTTGGGGTTGTTCTTTTGGAGATAATCACGGGCAGGAAAGCCATTGATAATACGCGGACTGATGCCGAGCAGAATCTGGTTGCATGGGTAAGATATTTTGTTTACTACCTTCTTCAGATGAAAGAAGTTTTTATTTCCGTCTCTTGCCTGTTATTTTATTTTTCTGTTCAACCGTGGAAAGAAATAGCTTGCATTAGAACAGAGAGGGGTCCTTTCCTCTTACAACTTAAGGCTGTGGAGGCACCTATGACTGACTTTAGGCATTTCAAAGAAGCATCTAAAGACCAAAGCAGGGTTGGGAACCTTGAATGTGGCATTGGGACAGGAGGGCCCATGTTGGGTGCATATGATTGTTTCTATTTCCGCAGCCTATGCTAATCACAGGACAACACTTCTAGGCTGACCAAGCTATTGATCCAAGCACTCCAATAGATTTGTATAAATGGAAATGTGAAGAAAAGAGAATGCAAAAGTGAAATAAGGTCAAAGAATATTGCATAAAGCATTGGATACCCTTCATGTGCATACCAGTCTCATATCAGCAGCGGCTGCGGCATCAATAGAACCATTTTAGTAAACATCAATAGCCAGATGGATTCACGTAAATTGGAGAAAACCGAGCCCCATGACCAACTTACTTTTAAGTTTCACGAGACAAAAGGTGATTCATAAGTGAATATCAACACTTTGATGGATGAAAAGCTCTTTAATAAGTGATTTGTCCCTATGTTCTGGAAATCAGGCCTGATAATCCCTAATAAACATGTATCAAGCGACTATTCTGTTGTAATGCAAATTGATTAATCAGGTAAAGTATATTGGGTCATTTTGCACGCTGTGTGGTGTCACCTCACGACCAACCGCATATCTCAAGTCAATGGACCCTGTGGCAAGGTTAGAACTCAAAGCAAATGCACACGAGTTCCTTTCTGGGTGTAGCAATATGTCTATAGCAAATAATAGGGTTTGGATATTGTATTAGTTGGTTGCCCCACAAACTGATTTTAGAATAAGGCAGTTTTCTCAACAAATTCTCAATTATTGTATCGACCATTTTGGCATCTACAATGGTGTATATGTTTTGCATGTGAAATTTTTTCTGAGACCTAAATAGCTGAAATAACTACTTATGAAGATGGTAATTTACATGAATGAGGAAGAAGTATGCATGAAATGATGTGGTATAATTAACTTATCAGGCTGGAACAAAAATGTCTATGGATTAGCTAGCTCAATAAAACTAGTATATCTCTGACGTACTCGTTAACTTTAATATTTTATACCAAAATGGCGATATTGCATTTGTGTATGTTGAATGTGGATAAATAACTTTCCCTGAAGCATGATCCTAGAGGCATGGTTAGCAACCATATATTTCTTTTTTATAACTATAGCCATTTGCCTTCCTGGGTAGTTTTGATACTTCTTTGTTAAATGTTCTGTGTGTTGACGTTGTCCAGGGATACTAATATATATCTATTTGATTCTCATATGGAAGCAAAGGGTGTATAAAAAAATTCGACTTCCGAGGTGTGAAACAATTAATCTTATATTTGCACTCAATTTTGCACATTTGGTTGTTCCTGGCAAAGCTTTTACTTACACAGGCATGGACGTTGTAATATCCTGCAAACTTCATTTTTTTGCCCAAGAGATGTTATGTAACTAAATGATGGGTGTTACCTAAAGTTTCTTCACGTGTATGCATTCGTTTTGTTTCAATAAGGATTTCAAAAATAAAATGTGCCTATGAAGGCAATTTTCTTTTATTGATGAAGCACTCTTCAAGAATGCGTGAGGTTGAGCGATCTCTTCTACAAGGCTTATTCATAAAATTACCCTTGTTTGTTTGCAGGCTCGACCGTTATTCAAGGATAGAAAGAAATTCCACCTAATGGCTGACCCTGCTCTAGATGGTCAATATCCTAAAAGAGGCTTATACCAAGCCCTCGCAATTGCTGCAATGTGCATCCAGGAGAAACCTAAAATGCGGCCTCTCATTTCTGAGGTCGTTACAGCAATGGATTATCTTGCCTCCCGGACATATGATCCTGATGACTCTCCGACCCAGGAACAGCGAAGGAAGCGATCTACTCATCAACTTAAAAAAGATGCACAGATCTCTGGAACCAAGTCAGAGTACTAATTTAAGTGGATCCTAATTTTTCTTACGGCGTGCCCTCAGTTTTTGTGCAACACCTGGTAATGACTGATGCTTTATATCATTATTACAACGGATATCGTAATTTTCTGTTTCTGTTTTTTCCTCCCTATACCCATTGCTCATCGTCCTCTGTTTACGTGAGTTAAGGTAGTGTTTGTAACATCTCTTGCTATGAAGAACCAAAAATAGGTGTTCATTTATAGATATCCTAGCATCCAGAAGGAATTGCTTGAATATACATAACTGAAATCTAGAGGGCTAAATACTAGCATTTTCCTATAAAGAGAATTTATAAGCAAGTCAGTAAAAGTTGCAGAGCCATGGTTGGTGTCGAGTATCCACCCATTCATACTTGTTTTGGATTTTTAGTTGGAACAATGCTCCGTGTACACACAGCGTTACACCCCGTCACATGGAGGGAGGTGGGTTATCCATACACTTCACATGTTTCTAGCGATTCACATGACATCATCAAATGATTTAAGTCTCCTCCAACTTTTGAATTGTCCAAACAAGAACTATGTAAGAGTCGAAGAACCAGACTTAACCCAATACATTACGGCACGAGCTGACGACGACCATGCACCACTTGTGTCCGTGAGCGCTTTAGGGCGTCCTGAAGATATGTTTTCAGATATCGCTATACAATTACAACCCATTTTCCCCTTATCGCCGCGGGGGGAAATCGGACTATTTGGAGGAGTTGGAGTTTTTAAAACGGTACTCATTATATTCGTGGGGCAATTATTGTTTTAGTTGTATGCGCACGGTAAAAATGCTTTTTTATTGATTCCTTTTCAGATCACATTACCAAGATTGAAATTGAGGTCTTAATCTTAATTCCTATTATATTTAAGTACATGGGAATAAAAGGAAGAAATCTATTTTCATGAATTTTTGTTTCCATCTTGCTTAATTTGTATTCCTAGATGAGTTAGGAATCAGCAGGATATGGTAGTTCAACATTATGTAAGTGGGAAAAATTTCTAGTGCTTCCAGAATATAGAGTAGACATTACTTCGTGCCACTGTTTAATTGACGTGTATAAAATATCTGGGATGCACTATTTAATTGGGAACAAGTTATACACGTCAATTAAATAGTGGCAGGGAGTTTCATACACCGAGAGTGCTAGAAATTTTCTAATGTTATTGTTAGTTAGTGTAAACAATATGACTGAAAATCTACCTATTGCAACTTCAATCTCACGATGCTTTTGAGCCCAAACATATGATGTAACTAGCTAAAACAGTTCACAGTCTCTCATTTACAATGTAAATGAAACAAGGATTTAATTCTGGTTGGTGACATTGCAAAGTTGATTCATTTCTGAATGTACCTTTGATGTGCTTTCTGTGTTCATAAAGATGAAAGCATTTGAATTTTTATGCTGATTTCCTTGAATAACATCCTTTCTGTTGACAGTTTAGCTCTTACGTTGCCCAAGACTCCCCAAGAGGAGATGACGGAGTAAAAGATTATCAGGTCAACTGTTTCCACTACAAGTTGTTAACCTCACCTGCTCTGCAGTTCCTGACCCATAAGTACACAACCGAGTTCTTTTTTGAAGGTAAAACTCTACAACAGTCTCTCGGTGACTGCAAAACACACAAATGGATTCAGTCAGTTGCAATGAAAATTAGTTCTTGGTATTGAATGGCCGAAAAGAAAGGATTAATTTCAAGTGCTGAACTTGCCCTCTTTCAACGGCTGCTATCAGGGCTTTTCAAGACAAAAATGGAATCAAGTTTTTCCGGTGGGTCACTTTTCCACGTGCAGTGCTGATGCGATTCCTTGTCATGCTTGTAAACACCAATTACTTGTCTTCTCTTTTCATCGTATTTTGTTGTGGTCATGTAATACATGAAAGGCTTCTGGCCAGGGTGCTTGCTCACAGGTCTCGTATTGAATGCATATGCTGTGTAACCATCTCTTCGGTACCAGTTAAGAAATGTTCGTGTTGGCATTTCCAGTTCTCTCGGGGAAATGACTCCTCGAATGATTTGAACCACGAAGCCCCATGACACAGAGATCGACCAGTACTGTTTCTCATTGTAGCAGATTGATTGCTGAATTATGCTGGCAGAATCCAGCTTGACGGATTCAAACAGGTTTTTGAGGCCTTGGACTCGAGTTTTGCCTGGAAATATTGGATTCACTACATCAAGATGGTGAAGTGACACAACTGGAGTCACTGGGTGAGCTCCCAAGAGGCCTAATAGGTTTCCATACACATCATACTTCATTACAATAGAACAATAATTACTGGCAAATGCTAGGTCTGAGATTCCATGTAAATAAAGAGCACATTCTGTTCAGTTTATGCATTATCATTGAAGAAATGATCACTCTAATCAAAGCAATATGACTATTAACCATACTTTTGCTCTTGTACTCTCTGCTTATTGATTATAATGACCAGGGGAGTTAAGAGCGTTTTTGGCTTAGTTAATAGGCTTGAAAAGAAGCCAAAAAAGGGCTTTATCTGACAGTATGACGCTGCTGTGGAAAAAAGTAAAAAAGAAGCCCTTTTTAAACCAAAAAAAAAAAGTTTAAGCCAAACCAAACACGACTCTATATCCTCCAAAAGGGGATGTTCACCATATTTGAGAGGGCTTTATTTTGTTAGTAAACACATAAAGGCTGAGCCAATAAGATCCACATGATTTATACAGGTTGTTTCATCCCTATTCCTTCTATAGCATCTTCAAAGAATCCACTTGCTAACCTCGAGTTAAAGTTACCTGCAAACTCACTAAAAAGGAACTTGTCCAAGCAAGATACATTGTAATTGGGACTTACATACTTGGTGTGATCTTGCCAATATATTATAACTGATGATATTTTCAAATGCTATTAGAGAAAATGTCATTTGTCTAAAAAAGGATGTCAATTTTCAATGCACTCGGCAATAATATAGAAGAAAATGTAGCACTATCTACTCATGTCCAATATTATATACAAGAAACACAAACTTTGTTGTTGGACTTGAATTTTTTTGAACTTTGCAATTTGTACATTCCGGGCGTCACCCAGCTTGAATTTTTTTGAACTTTGCAATTTATACATCCCGGGTGTCAACCCTGGGTAACACCCCCCTCATAAGAGGGTGACCCACATATAATAAAATAATTGTGGCCCCCCTCCCCCTTGTGAGGGAGGTGTCATCAGGGGTGTCACTCTTGACACCTCGGATGTAAAAATAGCAAAATTGAATTTTTTAGACCAATTAAACTATTTGTACAAAAATATTTTTACACATTTGTTGTCAGATGCTAAGATGACATGCATTTTGACACTTGATTTGAATTTATGATAACATGTAAAGAGAGCTGTACAAGTAGCATGATTTGTTGTAGACTTACTTGATGAAAACCAATTTCTTTGGTAAGCGGGACCCCTAGCTCAGCCATGCAAGCCTGAATCCTGTCATCACTGCCATACAATGCAGGATACCTTTGAATGCAGCCATCCTG